ATTAATTAAAAGATGAGATATAGGTGCACAGAGAATGCTCTAAAATTATATAAAGTCTATGAAGCAGCTGACAATTTATATCTGATATTAGAGTATTAAGAAGGTGGCTCAATGATAGAGTTGATAAAGAGGAAAATTTAGCTCAAAGAATTAGATTTATAAACTATCATGGCACAGCTACTATTAGCAGTTGATTTCATGCATTAGAGAAATATAATTCATAGAGATCTCAAATTAGACAACATTTTGCTCAAATCTTCAAAATAAGGAATATATGAAGTTAGAATCGCTGATTTTGGACTTGCTAAATAGCTTAAATAAGGGGAAATTCTTTCTCACAAATGCGGAACCCCATCGTATATAGCACCAGAAATTCTACGCTATGGCGAGTATGATCTCAAATCAGACATATTCAGTCTTGGATCCATAATGTATAACTTAATAACTGGAAAATATTTATTTGAGGCTGGATAAGTTAGAGATTTAGTAAGGCTCAATAAAGTGTGCAATTTAAGTCATATCCAAGATAATCTGTGGAATACTTCAGATAGCTGTAGAGATCTACTCTATTAGCTATTAAAAAAGAATCCAAAGAAGAGGTTCAATGCTAGAGAAGCATTGTAGCATCGCTGGTTTCAGGAAGATAGAGATGCTCTCTAAATTGGATTAGAAATCAATAAATTACTGTGCATCAATCCTTAGAAATAGAATGTCTCAAATAATTGAACTGTTTAATAACATGCTTATAGCTCAGTAAGGCCTAATAGAGCTTACCCATATTGCGATCAACCAGTACATGATGGGTCAGTTAGTTTACTTTTAAATTAAAGCATGTTATTGAAATACTCTTATGCTGAAGCTTTTGATAGTACACAGTAGGTAGATTATTATGAGATTATTGAAAATAGCAGGAGATCAAGATCTAATACTCCAGTTAAAAGTGACACTCAAAAAAATGAGACCGATATCAATATTAGCTAGATTTGTCCTAATAAGCGATAGTCTTATCAAAGTTCATCATTTAAGAAAGAGAAGCAATAGAAAAAATCACAATAGGAGAAATTCAAATAGATTAAACTTCTTTAAATGGCAAATTAAGTAGAAGATTC